CGAAAAGCTGCCACTGCCAATTCTATTGATCTCCATTAAATTGCAAAAGCACACTTGATTCTTGTAACAATTCATATATAGAAGCACATATAAAGTAAAAGTTCCCCTTTGAGTCTCCTTTTCCCTCTTCCACAACCAAATCCCACTTCCCAGAGGTAAACACTACCATGTTTACTTTTTTTAGTCTTTGGATGGGTATTTTCTTGCCTCTTGAAATTTATAGAAATGTAAATCCATTTGTGTGTTCCTAACAGAATGGCCCTGGCTCCTTAATTACTTGGTAGTCTGCCCCGAGCCCATCTGGAATTGCTGCCATCCAAAATGACCTCCCTTTCCCGAAGATGGATAGCTCCTTTCCCGGGCCCTCCAGATCTGGACGCAGAGGCCGATCTGAGCATAGTCATGGATTAAAGCTACCCCTCTAATGGTAGAGGAAGTAAGTGCAGGCCATGTGAGCTCTATTCACAAGCAGGAGCTCAGCAGCGTTTCCATTTCAAATTAAGATCACTTCCCAGACTGGCCTCCCCAGCTGGAGGACCAACCACCCCCACAACACACAAACACACCAAGTCTGTGCTCTCCTAGTCACTGCTCCCGCCCTGCTAGCCTTTCAGATCCCAGGTCAGCTGAATGCATGGAGACAAAGGGGCATTTCATAGACTCCTATTTTGGCAGTCGAAATAACACTGCAAGTGCCAGGTCTTCACACGACAAATAATCTCTCTGTGCGTGTCAGACACACGGCCAGGGCAGCCAGGGGGATGAGGGCTGCTGCTGAATTGAAAGTCCAAGAAGGATATACTAAGTCACAATGAATGTTTGAACGCGTTATTTTTTATTTAAGTAGTAAAAAGTCTGTCTCTTAGTAAGCAGGTACTGTGTAAACTTTCTTTCATGTAATCCTTACAACCACCATGTAAAACAGTTATTTCCGGGATTGCAGGGAGGACAGCAGCACTCAGAGGTTCCACAACTCGCCAGGGGCCATGCAGCCAGGAGGCAGAGGACTGGGGTTTGAGCTCAGGTCTGTCTTCTTCCAGAGGCCAGACTGCCTCACTCTCCCAAGGTGGGATCAGAAGTGCCTATGGCTGCCAGGCCTCCAGGAGGCTGCCTCCTGGAGCTGGAAGAGAATTCAGCTTCCTCCTCCTCTTGGCCCCGTTCAGCCCTCTCCGAAGCCCCACGGAGGAAGTGGAGAGGACTTCGCCCACCTTCACGTTTGCTTTACCTTAGATGATGCAAATGGAAGAAGGAACACCTTCCTGAAGTCGAAGTGTGTAAGGAAAAATTATTATCTGTAAGGCGGCCATAATAAATGTTTAATTAGACAGTGCAGCACTGCATTTCGCATGGCTTTGCAACATCTCAGACAATAAAACAAGCCCTGGTCCACAGGGCTAATTACAGATGACTGAATTATTTTTATTAAAACCCTCTGGAATACTAAACATGAGGGATGAAGCAACATGGCATTGCTGACTAGATCTAGTCTGGAAATCTGGGCGCTAATTCCTGACTCAGCTGCTAACAGCCACCAGTGTTTGTCTGTGTGGTATACACAGTTCACAGCGTCTGCACATACTTGCTACATTAGTTGGTGGCCATGGGCAAGTCACTTAACTTCTGGTGTCTGGTGTCAAAGTCTGGAAATGAGGACACTGAGCTATATCATTTGAAGTCTCCTCCAATGAAGGAGGAGGACATGCGTCTCCGGATCTGTAAGCAAATCAGGGCAGAGGCATTCCGGTTTATGAAAATGATATTCTCTGCTCAGCTTCTGAGAGATCTTATTTGGCTAAGTTCAGGTATAACTCATAGACATTTGCTTCCAGGTGGTTCACCACGCTTCTGGAGGGTCCATGTCATGGCCTTGGGTTGTCGTCCCACATAGGAACTTTTCTGTGTTCAGTAGCCAGCTACCATGCCTAAGTCCAGCCAATCATCTCAGATACATGCCTTGGGGGAAGGGTTTGAGGCAATCCCTGCTCACAATGCATGTACTCTCAGGATGCTAACCAAGTGATGGCATCATCACACTCCCAGGAATATTATAAATATCATTCTTGCTTAGTCTTAAGACACACAAATCTCTCCCTAAAGTCTTGCCATTTACTGGCTGTTTTCATGTTCCTGAAATTAGGGTGCAACTTAGAACAACGTATACAGGGTGTCCCAAAAATGTATACACACTTTAACAATCGACAGCTCAATTTTGAAAATGAAACGTATTTTAATAAACACTGCTTTTATAATTATTTAAAATGTGTGTATACATCCTGAATAATTTGATCTGGTAGCGTTAAATTATTTTACCTAAAAGGTATTGGCAAATAGCTGTTTTATCTCTTAGAATCAAGGAAAAACGGTGACATAAAACCACAACATAGATGACACAGATTTAGGTTTAACTTGGTTCAAATAATGTCCCTCTCCCTGACCTTTACAATTACACTCAGTAACAACTGGATAGGCAATGTGTAAGACACAGTATTAGTCCTAGTTCTCAACAGTAGCAGTGTAAAAGGCAATCCGTCATTAACTCATAAAAACACTGGTATGGATTTCAAAGGCAAATATAACCCATATAAAAACTCCTGTGAGGCTCTGAAAATGTACTATCCCACAGCAAATTGGAAAGGGAACATTTTCCTCACACCCTGCTGACCTATTAGCCTTGGCACGTTTCCTTGCTTCTTAATTCTCATCCCTCCACCCCAGGAATACTGCTGATTCCCAAAATACACTCAGCCCAGGAGGAGCAGCTCTCGGGCACAGCTGTCCGCTCCTGCCCTGCCCCGGCATTTCCGTGAACTATGTGACCCAGAGAGGACCACACAGAGGAATGTAACTCTCGGGACCCACAGTTCCCATCGCCCCGCAGGCAGGTGCATCCCGCCAAACCCCAGACTGGCATTCGGGACAGAAGAAATTGCACTGCTGCATGGGGGCTGTAGTTTTCCCGAACTCCATCTCTATGTTTAAAAGTAGGGCGACAGCCGTCTTTGCTGCTGTAAACTAATCTGATGGGCATGGGGGTGGGGAGTGGCTCTGAGGAGGCTGCCAATGGGCCATGATTGAGCAAAGTCAAGGAGCAAAATCATTATTTGTCATTCTTTGCATTATCATTATCCACATGAGTGGGTCCTCCAGCATGATTTTTAGGAGTGAACCATCGACTTCTTTTTGCAGCCTGGAGTTAAAAAAGGCTCACAAAACCTCATGTACAGTTTAACCGGCTGATATTTACATATATTTTCTAAAAGTACACTGAAATCTGGAAGCCAGGAAAATTTTTTAAAAAGAATCAAAGGAACTTGGCAATGAGGTGCACACTCAGTAGTTAGGAGACCTCGAGTTGAGGCATGTTTGTTAAGAAACAATTCCTAGCTTGTGGGCAACAACTCACACTTCAGCTGGAAAAAAGGAAAACAGTTTGGAATTTTCCTCTATCCCAAGATCAGGGAATGCAAGACGGGCAGGTGGATGGGCAGCACACACAACCCAAGGAATGGTCCAAAATGCCAGAACCCCTATCAGGTGACAGCCCCCACAGAGACTCACAGGCTTCATTCAGGTCCACCCCATGGAGAAGCCTCAGCTTCTCTCTAACCTGTGCGCTATGTTAAAACTATTGCCTAACTGATGACCACATGGCATTCACAGGCATTGCAATATCAAGTCGGTCACAACGCCTCAAACAGTAAGCACTTGCTATGGAGGATACCAGGCCTCTTTGCAAAGCTCACAAGATACCAGGATTGTACTACACACACCAAAAAAAAAAGGGGGGGGGGAGGGGAAGAGGGGGTGGAGGCATTTTAAAGAGTACTGCGAGATGCTTATTCACAACAACCCATCGGAAGCGCAGGAACTTCAGGTCCCACTCGCAATCTCCCCTTCCCCCCACTCCCGCCAGTCCCTCTGCACCCGCCAAGGCAATGCTCCGAGGCCACCGTGCACCGGCTGGTGCTCACTCAACAGTAGCTGATCCCGAAGGGGCAGAACCCTTCTCCACAAAGATCTGATCCGAAAGCCCCACAGGCTCCCAGCAGGCAGCCAGGACTGTCCAGACCTGCTCCCCACACCAGCCAGGGCAGCAGCGCGCGGGCCAGAAACCTGAGGCCCGCGGTGTGGGCAGGCGAACAGTCCCCCCTCCTCCCCCGAGTCCCCCCTCGCGCTCTCCTTGTCACTCTTTTCCTGGCACAGCCCTGGGGCAGCCAGACAGGCGGAGGTGTCAGGCCCCAGAGGAGCGGGGAGGAGGGACGCGCTCGGACGGAAGGCAGTTTTGGGGGGGCCGGAGGGGGATCCGGGCGGTAGCGCCGCGTCCAGCCCGGAAGGCCCCCCAGGTGGGTCTGGCGGGAGGGGAGGGGGAGTGGCTCGCCGAGGCCTGACCGCTGTGGCCGCAGAGAGCCCGGGCGGGAAGCCCGGAAGGAGGGAGGGAGGCGGGCGGGGGCTGGACGCGGTTGGGGTGCGGGGGTGCGGGGGGAAGAGGCGACAGGGGGGGGGGGAGCAGCCCGGTTCCCCTCCCCCAGCTCGGGCCCGGGCCTCCCGCTGACTCAGCCCCACGGCGTCCGTTGCCTCGGCCTCGGCCGGGACTCACAGTGCGCGAGGCGGCTCCGGAGGCGGCGGCGGGGGAGGGGGCGGCGGCGGGGGGCGCTGCGGAGAGGCTGCGGCTCCGGCCGGCGGCTCCCGGGCGGAGGGTCCTGGCAGAGGCCGCCGAGGTCTCCGGCTTCAACGCACAGAGACTGCGGGGGGAAGAGAGCACTGCGCAGGCGCGATGCGGCCAACGCTGTCACTCCGGGCGGGGCGGGGCCGGGGCGCCCGCCGTCTCCTAGGCAACCGGGTGGTGCGAGAAGGACAGCCCCTCCGTCCACCTGGTCCTGGCGACGGCGGTGACGGCGGCGCGAGGTGGGGGGCGGCGGGAACAGCCCCTCTGGGTTGCCATAGCAACAAGGAGACGACCCGGCCTCCGACATGGACCGCGGTACCGGGGACGCGCTTACCTCGTCACCATAGCAACCGGAAACAGCCCCTTCCTTTCCCCTTAGCAACAGGATAACAATTCCTCCACGTAGTCTGTCTAATCACAGAAGGAACAACCATTTACATCTGATTCCATAGTAGCCGGACTTCGGTTTCTCACAGCTACTGCACAGGAAAAAGTGGAGAGTGTTTCTTTCAACAACGCGAGAGCTAAGGCTAGGGTTTTTTATTTTTTATTTTTAATATTTTTTATCTCCACTCTTGGTTTATGGGTTTCTATCACAGCCTGTTACTCCAAACCCCAAATTCGATTTTCCCCTACCTGCATCAAACATTTCTTATCATGTCCTACTGGAAAGTCTATGCCTTTACTCCTAAATAGAGCTAAGAAATATGTATAAACACGTTACTTGAATTTTTATTAACTTTATTGTTCTCTCCCAATGCATTTGTAAACAGTTCTTGCTTTTCCATCTTGCCCACTAGCGGGTTCAGATTCTACCTCCTCATAACTAGCTCCCTCTTTGACATGTTCATTGGTGTTCCCGATGCTCTATTCCAAGCCTGCTTTTATGGATCTCTCCAGTTCTGGAGCCCTCCTCTTCCTGTCCATGCCTGCTGGTAGTATTGTCCTTCAGGGCCCTGCCCAGGGCTCCACTCTGCTCATCCCCTTTCTGGTTCTTTGTGCAGGTGACTCTGGCTCTCCCACCCTCAGCCCTGACTTCCATGGATGTCTTGAGGTTAACCTCTGTACCCACATTGTGTAGTATTGTCCTTGGTTTGCATGTCTGTCTCCCCAATCAGACTCTGTGCCCCCTGTGGGCAGGAATTCTGCCTTATCAGCTCCTTCAGCACCTAGGCACAGAATGGAACGCATTGTGGAGTTCCAATAAATGTTTTTGTAATTGAATCAAGATTTTCTTCAAAGATCCTTGAAAGATTTTCTTTGGTCCCAAAGAAATGGGTGAAGGGGGTAAAAAACAAACAAACAAATAAACAAAAAAAACCCCAAAACTAGTTTCCAATTCTTCCTCACTTTCTCTGACCTAACTGCCCCAGAGTCTCAACAAACATTTTCTTTATGATCTTTACATGTATTTAATCTTTTAAATACTACTTTTAATTACTACTCCTATTATAACTCTCTCACTCCCTTAGCCCTCCGTCTTAATGCCAAAACTCTAGTCATCTATTAATTAAGCCTCTGGCATTCTCTGTACCCACATTCTCTATTTCCTGAATCCTCACCTCTAGCTGGTCTCCTAAATGTTTCTAAGTTAAACTGACCTCATTGGGTACTGACCTCCTCCATGAACCCTGCCACCCTCTAGAATCAGTAAGCTGTTCACATCTCACCATTCTATCATCTCCTCACCCAGCCCTTCTGGTGAACATCACTGGATTCTGCTGGGCTTGTTAAAATGCTGGAGATGCTGCATTCCCTTTGAATGACTCAGAAATAAGAATTCATAAGCTTATGTCTCTCCGTCTAGCTCCCAGAATTCCATCCCAAGGCTATTGGTGTCAATGGGCTTTGACTGAGCCCATTTTCCCAGGGGAGAAGGAGAAGGCAGATGATTACAAACAGAGTAAAAAAAAGAGAGGGATACAGCATATATCGACTCAAGACCCTCTTTTCCCATCCAAGGCAACTCTCAGAGAGGAGAGGGTTCCTTATAGAGAACAATTCCCAGGACAAATCAAGGGGTTAGGAGAGTGAAAATCCATGCTACACATTTTCTTAGCCACAGAGCTGGGGTACTAAAGGTGTTCCTAACAGCATCTACAGGGCATCTGGGTGTTACAAAGACATGGGAAAATGTCAGACTCTATTTACTTTGTCCGTTCTGAAGTTCCAGCTCAGCTCCATGGTTATAGGTATGGACTTGGGTGGTGTAGACTACCCTGAGGAATTCTGAGACTAGACTGTGATCCATATAGCCCCACCCAGTCACCACCCATGGGACAGAAGACCATTCCTGCCTACTGTTCATACAGGTTCTCAACATGTTAACATTTACCATGTGCCAGTTATCTATTTCTGTAAAATAAGTCATGTCAACATAATGATTCAAAACAACAACCATTTCATTATCTCTGTTTGTTTGGGACGGGAATTCAGGAGGAGCTCAGCTTTTTAAAAATATATATATTTTATTGATTTTTTTACAGAGAGGAAGGGAGAGGGATAGAGAGTTAGAAACATTGATGAGAGAGAAACATCGATCAGCTGCCTCCTGCACACCTCCTACTGGGGATGTGCCTGCAACCAAGGTATATGCCCTTGACCAGAATCGAACCTGGGATCTTTCAGTCCAGGCTGATGCTCTATCCACTGAGCCAAACGGGTTAGGGCAGGAGCTCAGCTTTTTATAACTCAGCTTCAGACGTCACTTCTGCCATATACTCTTGGTTGAGAAGTCATAGAAGTCCACCTAACCTCAAGGGGAGGGAACATAGACCCCATCTTTCAATGGGAAGAATGTCCAAGTCACATAATAAGAGCATGTGGTCGGGAGGTATTGTTGACATTGTCTTTGGAAAATATGAAAAAACGTGCTACCCTCTGTCAACACTAATTCACACCCCACTCAATGCAAAATACACTCACCCATTTCCTCAAGACCCCAAGTCTCACCCCATAATAGCACCACCTTGAAGTCTCACATCTAACTCAGGCCCCCTGGTGGATAGGGCTCCACAGGCCCACCTCCTTGGATATAACTCCTTGAGCGCCAATCCTCTTGATGTGAAAACCTGTGGAGTCAAGAGACACATCATTTACCCCATACACACCTAGCGTATACTAGTGGCACAGACACAGGATAACTGCTAGAGACTCATCATTTCAAAAAGGAGACAAGCAGAAGGCACACACAGCAGTTGCTGTGTTGCAGCAGTTCTAAAATCCAGCCAGGCACACACTGCTGCCAGGTCCTAGTGCAGAGCTTGGTCTCACAGCCATTCATTTATTTCAGTGTTGACATGGATTTTCTCCCCCAGCTGGTTATAATCCTTCTCTATTTTTTTGTTTTGATGTTCAATTGGTCACAGAGTTGGCCAGTGAAGGAAACATCAAGCTCCTGTGTCCTTTGGGTTGGTCACCACCATTCTCCAAACATTTCCTTGCTTCCTAGCACAGGATGTTGCAGGCTCATGTTGGCCCAGCCCTGGAATTGGCCATGCACCGGGGAGCCACGGGTCCTCCTGATTTTCTGACATGCTTTCTTTCTCCCTTGCTCCCTAAATGTGCCCTTAAACAATGAAGATGTCCTGAGTTCCCATCTCATTTTATTCCCTACTCCCTCGTTACTTCTTGCCATTATATGTCAGCCACAAAGAGCAAGCCAGTTGGCCAAGAAAGCAGTTCTGTTTCGCCGCTGAGCCTGCCTGATGGGGTTCACCCTGCTTGGAGTCTCTCCTTTCCCTTCATGGGGAAAACTCCTACTCCTCCAAGACCAGCTTTAGTGTCACCTCCTCTGTGATACGGGCCCGGGCCTCCCCCATAGAGTTGACACATTCTTTTTGTTACCAGGTACCTTCCTTACCCCGGTCTCCTATAGCCTTGTTTACCATGTTGTTCACACCTCTCTCCACTAGAGGTCCTCACACTCAAAGGCTATATCTTATTTACCTTTGTATTCTCAGAACCTCATGTGGGGCTAAGAACAGGCAGGCAAGTTAAACACAATCTCACCTTTCTGCACTTTCTCCGGGGTGACTGGTGGAGGAGGTGGTGGAGGGAGTATAAGAAAGTGGGTGAACTCTGGCTGGCGGGGGTTAGATTTCAGAGTGGAACAGGCAGGACGGTCCTGCCTGGGCGTGCGGTGGAGGCAGGGAGGAGCTGTGATGCCGGTAATTGCTACCAGCAGTGTTCATTATTCATTTGAAAGCAGCTGAAAGTGGAACAGGGCACTCAAATAGGACTGATTCCTACATATAGGAAACCCTTGACATGGTTTTAAAGTTTTCAAGGACTCGTGTAGGATGAAATGGTGTCATGCTTATCAGGTGCTTAGATAACACTGCTCATGCTGTGGGCATTCAGTGAACAGCATCAGTCAGTACTTTTTATTTAAAAAGTGAGGTGTTATATTCTGTGCACAGACCTTCCCGAGACACCTTTAGTTGCCTGTCTCTCACAGTATCTCTCATTTATAAAGGAGAAACTAACATTTATTTGGCCCTTACTGACAGCCAGGTTTGAAATGCATATCATTTCCTATAACCTCCCTGGTCATCTCCTGAGTTTGGTATCATTTCCAGTAAAAAATGTTTTTGTTGACTTCAGAGAGGAAGGGAGAGGGAGAGAGAGATAGAAACATCAACGATGACAGAGTAATTGATTAACTGCCTCCTGCATGCCCCTATTGGTGATGGAGGTGGGAACCTAGGCACCTGCTCTGACCAGGAATTGAACTGGGAACTCCTGGTTCATAGGTGGATGCTCAACCACTGAGCCACACTGGCAGGGCTCATGTCCATTTTCACAATAAATAGCAGATACCCGGAGAGGTTAACTCACTTGTATAAGTTGCACAGCTAGTGAACACCAGAAGCAGGGTTTGAACCTAAAGCCAACACAAAATTCCAAACTTCTCCCATTACCCCATGCTTCCTATATTTTCTGTACTAGAATTACTTGTCAGTGTTTCTTTTCCCTAAATCTGTACGTGCAGGAACTGTACTTGGCTCATTTTTATGCCACATAACACATGCCTGGCAGATATCGCAGCAGCATACATTAAGAGGGAGGTGGAAAACTCAAACAAGTAAACAACTAGAGTTTCCAGATTAAAAATACAAGATACTGAGTTAAATTTTAATTTCAGATAATCAGTAAATAATTTTTAGTATAAGTATGACACAGACACTATTTAAGACATAGCTACACTAGAAATACTAAAAAATTATTTGTTATCTAAAATTCAAGTTTAATAGAGAATCCTGTATTTTTATTTGCTAAACTTGACAACCTTAATCTAACCCCTGAGATTGGCCCCTCATTCACGCTCCAGGCTGACCTGACCC